TACGCAATTTCAGCTATGACAACAGCGTAGCTGAAGTCGACGTACCTTAGTTCGATTTGGGGGTTTAGTGTAGACCAAGCCCAAGTCGATCTAAGATACGTCGACTTCAGCTACGCTGTTGTCATAGCTGAAATTGCGTATCTTAGATCGATTTCCCCTCCCCCCCCCCCCACGTGTAGACCAGGCCTGAGTGCCTTCGCTTAGTATTTAGATACCAGGGCTACTGGAGGGAGTAGCATATGCGGGCATATGTACCCCAGTATTTGGTGGAGGCTTTTTACAAAGGGGTGTAGGTAGGAATTTAAAATTTTGATCCATATGATTTATTCATTGCCCTGTGCCCAGAGTATACTTCATAGGCTCCCGGGGTAGACATGCCCGCATATGGTATGAGCACTAACCCAGGCGGCACAGCTGCATGGAGACAGTACAATGTTTATAAAAGATCGTCTAAGGAAGCCAGAAATTCTGCTAGTCGCCCAAGAAATGCTCCCCTTCACTCTCCGCCATGCCGGAGCTGTGTTTGCTAAGGGATACGTGGCATGTACTAGACACACAGGTGTGCACACCGCTGTCCGCGTAACTTTGCTCTACCAACAGTCCCCGTTCACGTACGGGGAAGGGGAAATGAAAACGCGAGGCGCGCCTTTGCATGCCGCGTGCGCCTTTACACTCGCGCCTTGTTTCCCGGCTGGAGCACCACAGGGGCTCAGAACGTGCCCGTGTAACTCGCACGGCAGCACGGGGCTGTGCCCAGGGCAGGGGGCTGTTTTGTCCCGCCGGCCGGAGCGCGCTCCGCGGTAGCTGCAGACGTAAGGCCGGTCTCGTGGCGGAAACTGCACCTAGTTGCAGAAGGGGAGGGTTGCTATTTGTGTCGTCACACCTGTCTACGGGACCCAGCTGCAGCGTTACTGCAGCGGCCCGGCCAATCCAGGGGCCCCCGCAGGAGCGCCGGAACCTTGGCCCCGCCCCCTGCTCCTCTTCTGCCCTCGCCCCCTCGCCCTGTTTTGCCTCTTCCCCCTCAGGCTCCACCTCCCGATAGCCAGGCCGGAAGCTGGAGTCCGGATGTAGACAGTGAGGTGAGCGTGTTCCCCCAGCCCCCCCGCGCGGAGCTGGGCCGAGCCCCTCTGCGCCTCCCCCCT